AGAGAGAGAGAGAGAGAGAGAGAGAGAGAAGGGAGAGAGAGAGAGAGAGAGAGAGAGAGAGAGGGAAGAGAGAGAGAGAGAGAGAGAGAGAGAGAGAGAGAGAGAGAGAGAGAGAGAGAAAGGGAAGAGAGAGAGAGAGAGAGAAGAGAGAGAGAGAGAGAGAGAGAGAGAGAGAGAGAGAGAGAGAGAGAGAGAGAGAAATGAGAGAGAGAGAGAGAGAGAGAGAGAGAGAAAGAAAGGGAGAGAGAGAGAGAGAGAGAAAGAAAGGGAAGAGAGAGAGAGAGAGAGAAGAGAGAGAGAGAGAGAGAGAGAGAGAGAGAGAGAGAGAGAGAGAGAGAGAGAGAGAGAGAGAGAGAGAGAGAGAGAGAGAGAGAGAGAGAGAGAGAGATTGAGAAGAGAAAATAGATTAGATAGAGAAAGAATATAAAATAAACTGACCAGAGAAAAACAAAATAAAAGCTAAAAAAGAAAGAGAGAGAAAGCGAGAACGAGTAAAGTAAGAATAAAACGAGAGAGATGTTAAGATATTGGAAAGGAGGGCAAGGTGACACACAGATAAACAGAGAGAAAGAGAAAAAAAGAGAGAATCGGAGAGAGACGGCGTCGGAGACAAGAATTGATGAGATGAACAGGGCGAGGAGAGAAGGAGAGAAGGAGAGAAGGAGAAAGAGGGAAAAGAGGGCAGAGGTCAGACGCTTCGAGAACAACGAGTCCCACAAACACACGCGCTCAGATTCCCCGTCGCGACAACACACACGCGAACGCACGCACACACACACGAACGCGTACATAGACACGTGAAGACATTGGCTTATGAACGCACATACATAATCATACACACACAGAGATAGATACACACACACAGATATAGATGCACACCCACACCCACAGACATAGGTACACACACACACACATACACACACACACCCACAGACATAGGTACACACACACACACATACACACACACACACACACAGACTAACACATACACAGATGACCTCATACGTAAACATATATACGAACAAATACAAACGCATGCATGCACATACGGATACATATGCACACACACACACACACACACACACACACACACACACACACACACACACACACACACACACACACACACACACACACACACACACACACACACACACACACACAAACACACACACACACACACACTAACACAGATGACCTCATACGCACACACGCACATACACACACGAATACATAAACTGACACACACACACATACACATACACGCGACATGTGCGGATGACACGTAACAGATCGCCATTAGCAGCTGAAGCATCCAACCAGCATCCATTTATTCTCGCCATGATAAACGGGCTGGAGAATAAATTATTAAATTTCCCGCCATTTCCCTGGTACGGAAACGCTGTCCGACACCAGCTGCCCGCGCGTGGTACCGGCAGGAAGGCGGTACCGGTACATTGCCCCCTCCCCCCTCCCCCTCCCCTCTCCTTTTGAACAGACCTTCCACCCCTTCCCCTGTGCATCGACCCCCTGCCCCTCCCCCTCTTCTTTCGGATAGACCCCCACCCCTTCCCCTATGCATGTACCCCCCTCCCTATCCCTCTTCTTTCGGAGAGACCCCCCCTTCCCCTGTGCATGGACACCCCTTCCCCCCCTCTCTTTCCGTGGCGACGAGACGCCGTGTTGAAAGTGTGGTGTAATGTTTATTAATTGTTTACATATTCACTAATATCAAGCTACTGTCATCATATCAGTTTAGGAAATTCGACAACAGCATCCTCGCAAGAGAATTCTATTTTTAAAAAAGAAAGGAGAAAGAAATAGAAGAGGATAATTTACCCATTTTCTAAAACGAGCAAAGTGGTTACGTTATTAACACTTGTCCAGCACATGCAGCGAACGCCTACTGTTGGCAGCGCTGCACGTTTCCTCCACATGTGTCTGAATGGGCGTCCGTCGCTGGCCGCTGCACACCTGCCTTACATCTGGCACGGCGCCCGGACTGCCAGCCAATCAGCGGGGACTTCCCACTCTATCTGTATGACGTCACACCGCAGGCCTGTCGTGATTGGTCGGCTCGGCTCTGCATTACATCCTAATCCCCGTTCATAATGCAGCTTCCTGCAGGCCGCGACCCTCAGGGGCAGCTTGTTCAGTGTTCATAATTGCGGCCTTTGAAGTAGCCTTTGGTCGGCCGGAACATGTTCAAAAGTGATTGCAGGAAACGAATAAGAAAAAAAAAAAAAAAAACAGATTCATCCTCCTTGTAAAAATATTTTTAAAGATATGGACGTCAATGTGATAAAAAAACGTCACGTGATGTTTGTTTGCTCCAGAGTTACTGTACTTATATATGTAAACAATGTATTTATAGTATATATGATCCTCGTTTTAGAAACCAGGATTCACTTTCCCTTACATCCTTCCCTCTTCCCTTACCCCTTCCCTCCCCCTTCCCTCTTCCCTCGCCCCTTCCCCGCCTCTTTCCCTCCCCCTTCCCCGCCCCTTCCCCTTTCCCTTCTCCCTCCCCTCCCTCGCCTCTTCCGCCAGTGTTAGGTGTAGAGTACATTGTGACCTGCCGCTGTATATCACTTCACCTGGCCTCTGTATCATGGGGGTGTGGTGGAGGGGTGGGCTGGGGGTGGGGGGAGGCTTGTGGGATCTGTGCGGGAGGGACTGAGGGGGTGGAGGGCGAGGGGAGAGGGAGGGGGTACAAGGAGGGGGAGCCTAGCGTGGGGGGGTATCATATTGATCGTTGTGTTGGCTTAACCTTAACTGTTGTACGCGACATACAGTAGATGGGGGTAAGGGAGGTGTATTGTTTTGTATTGTTGTGGACTG